ATAGAGCAGGATTTGCTTCAGTGGGGCTTTGGTGTTCACTGAGTCTAACACTTGAGTGTGTCACTTGTGGACATGTAGAGTTGTAATCTAGAAGCTATCCAATGGGTGTACTGGCTCTGGTGCTCCGTGCCGCGCCCCCCCCCCCTCGAGATGCAAAGTCACACAATGGCTGGAGCTGCCCAACAGCAGCTACAGAGCAATTTGCAGGTTGCTGCTACTTGTGTTGGGGTTGGAAGTGCCCAGCTCTGAAACAAAGCATGCTGATGTGAGTGCCAGTCCTTTGGTCTCTTATTGATATATATGGGCATGCTGATGCCAGCTGATGTTTGTTTGAGAGATTTTAGGAAGGTTTGAAATCTGAGGCAGGATAGCCCATTTAAATGGAAAAGCTGCCGAAAACGGCTTGGATAGGGCTACAAATTGAATGGGGCAGATTCTCAGGAAATCACCAGTGTGAAGTGAACAGAGTGAGTCAGGCTGGTGGAAACTCATATATGTCTGCCAGTTGGCTCTGTGAAGGGGGAGGTCCCAGAACAGGAACAATGTGAGCACCTCTGTCTGGGAGAAAGCCACTCCCAAACCTTGCCCTGGTGCCAGACAATCCAGTTCCTTCCCACATGCCCCTAGACTACCCAAAGCTATTGCCCCAGGGATTTAGCTCACGGGGAGCTAGTCCAAGTAAGTTCATGCCCCTGCCCTTTATGAGGAACTGCTGGGACTCCAGCAGCCTATGTCACTCAGCCACAATTGCCACTGATTTTTGCAGCCTGAAGTTATAGGGACTTCTCCTCCCAGTACTGGCATCCTATGCTGAGTGATGTGGTGTGCGGCTGGGACCCTTTGCTCCTCATGGGAGGCCGTTACAGGTGGGTGCCTGGACCAGCCCATTCTGTGCCTCATACCAGTCTTGAGGTGCTTTCTTCTTTACTTCTCTAGTTGTAGGACTTCCATTCAGTCAGATCTCAGGTGGTTCTGCATGATGGCTGTTATGTATTTTAATTATAATTTTGATGTGTTTATGGGAGGGAGTGATTACCTTGTTTACCTATGCTTCTATCTTGGTTCTCTTTTCCTATATTTTTTAAATTTTTATTGAATTTATTGAAGTGACATTCTATATAACAAAAGCTAAGTGTTCAGTTGTTCATTCAACCAATCAAAGCATAATATGCTAATGATATGCTAAGGCTGCTCAACGGCTTGCTATGATGTGCACTGATCACCAGGGGACAGAAAATCTGATCAATAGGTTAGCTTGCTGCTGGGGTCTGGCTGATTAGGACTGAGTGAGACCGGCCTGGGATGCCCAGGAGCCCTCACACAGTCCCTCCCTGAATGACCAACCTCCAGTATCCTCCTCCACTCCAATCATGCACCAGTGGAGTTCCTCAGCCTGGCCTGCCCCTCTCATAATCCAGGACCCCTCAGAGAGCCAGGTTTGGCCTGATCCTGCAAGCCAGGTCAAGAGACCTCACTGGTGCACAAATTTGTGCACCGGGCCTCTAGTTGGTTAATAAAATTGTATAGGTGTATAATTCAAGTGTATAATTCTTCATAATACATCATATGTACATTATATTTTGTACTTGCCACCCCAAGTCAAGTCGCCTCAGCATTTTCCCTTCTTTACCTTCTTATACTTTTCCCAACCCCTTTGAGTTTTTTTTTGTTTTATTTTCTAATCTTTATTTGAGGATATTTTTTTTCCATTGATTTTTAGAGAGAGTGGAAGGGAGGGTGAGAGACACACAGAAAGAAACATTGATATGAGAAAGACACATCAATTGTTTGCCTCTAACATGTGTCCAGACTGTGGCCAGGATGGAGCCTGTAGTCTAAGTATATGCCTTTGTCTGGAATTGAAACTGCAGCACTTCAGTCCATGGGCTGATGCTCTAACTGCTGAGCCAAACTGGGCAAGTTTTTTTTTCCCTTCTTCTTAATCCCTTCACTTTTCACCCAGGCCTCTAACACCCTTTCCCTCTGAGAGCTGTCACTCTGTTCTCTTTAGCAACACTAGATTATTTTAAAATTATGTAAAATGTCTAAAACCTATGAATTGGGACTCATGATGAATAAGGAATAAAACAATTTAGTGGGATTATTATTTACCTTAGATATATTAATAGAAATATGTATATTGAGGACTATTTGGGGTAGAAAAGAAAGAGCCAAGTAGAAATTCAAACTAACTGGGATGGGGCGAAAGCAATGAAGAAGGCATTGTGCAAGTCAGCAAACCTGAAATGGGAGCAAATGGATAAACTATTCAAAAGAGAAATATATGTTAAATAGAAAATAAGATGTAGGAATAAAACATTATGCCCATTGTCATAGTAATGTAAATAGGCTGAGTTTCATTATCAAAAGGCAGTCATTGCCAGATTTTGTTTAAAAATATCCATCTGTAAGTTAACTGTGAAAATATACATTAAAACAAAGGAACAAAGATAGTAAAAATGAGATGAGAAAAGATACATTGTAGAGATTCAAAGCCTAAGGAAGAGATATGATATTAGTATCAAATAAAGCAAAATTCAGGGCCCAAAACTGTTTGAGGGGATTAGGTTAACAAAACAGTTTGGATATTAGGAGTAAAGATTCTGGAATGAAGGGAAGAGTGAAATAATGCAGTAATAGTGTGTGCTTGCCTTTCCTTCAAGGTATTTACTACTTTGTTACAGGAACAAACTGAGATGATGGGTAGCTCAAGATTTAGTAGCAACTTACAATGTTGAAGAGACAAAATTGTAATTCAGAGCTCTTCAAAATAGAGAACGTTGAAGTTTCCATTTGAGGTTATGAAGAGAATATACCCTGGGTATAAGGGTAAACTACAAACAGACCAGTGTTTATAAAACCCAGCCTAAAAGAAACTCAGTCCCTGACTGAATTGAGGGTACCCAATCTAACCACCCGCTAAAGCTAACGGACTGGACTACTCTTTCAAGAAAGAGAATATCAACAGAGTATCCACAATTTTTTTTTTACAAAGTGTTCAATACTCAATTAAAAAAAATTACCAGGCATGCTAACTGACAGAACCAAGAGGAAAATGACCCATGAGAATAGTAATCCTCAGGTTACTCAGATATCCAAATAACAATGATTAATATTTAAGAAAATAGATGAAAACATGAAGAATTATTCCAGAGAACTGGAATAAAAAGCTAATATGCAAATAGACTGAATGCTGGAACTGTCTATTTGTATATTAGCCTTTTATTATATAGGAACCATCGGTTGCTATGATGAACACTGACCACCAGAGGTCAGACACTCAATGCAGGAGCTGCCCCCTGGTGGTCCATAGGGAGAACACCACTCAGTCAGAAGCCCCAAGACCGGCTCATGGTTGGTGAGCACAACAAGCACAGCAGCAATGGCTTTCCCGCCTTTATGGCAGCGCTGAGGATGTCCGACTGACTGATGGCCTAAGCCTCAAGGGCTCCCAGACTGGAGAGGGCACAGCCCTTCTCCCCCCAGTGCACGACTGTCTTGCACCAGACCTCTAGTCTATAAAAATAACTGGGAATCTAAACCTAATTGCAACTTCCTCCTTGATGGTCTGTATCAGTGGTCCTCAGCTGAACCTTAGAATCCCCAGGTTCTACAATGGACCCATTATGATCCCCAGGGGTTCTTATGTGCAGCTGGGATTGAGAACCACTCTTAACATAATGAATCCAAAATTGCACAGGCTCAGAAACCACAAAAAGTCTTTGGGAACGAGAACTAGTTTCTCAGTAAGGAGATACATTCATCAGTAAGAGCAGGGCTTGGTGTTGGAAGTTTAGCCCCACTGCTCCTTGCAAGCCACAAAACCACTCTCTACTTAGCTTCCTTAATCTATCAAAAATGTAAAGCAAGATCTTTTGTTTTGTCTCTCCTTCAGACCATAATGTGAAGTTTAAAATGGAAAAGAGAAAAGACTTTTCAAATTTTGAAAATCATACCAATTTAATTTGTGAATATTCTCATCATAATCAAACAAAAACTTTGCCCTGTTAAGGTGGGCCTTGCCTGAGTCATTTCATTTTTTTGCACCCCAATTTTCTCACCTAGACAATGGAGCTCCTACTCTGCAGATTACATCTTAAGTAGAAAGGCAAACAATAGAAACCAAAACACAAGATATTATATGGTTTGCTTATTATACATTTGCATTTTTTATTACAAAGCTAGGACTCATGCTAGTTCTTGATGTTAAGCCTGCCACCATATCCCATGTCTCTCATATTAGTAGATACTGACCCCCAGGTGGCCATAGCAGGTACGGCATTTCTGCCTGCAAAGCTTTGTGACTTCAAAACAAATCCCGGGAAATTTTTGGTTACCAACTAAGCCTGTTGAGGTGACATGTGCAATTGGCTTAGCTGCCTGGGAGCTGCCACTTTAGGTTCCATTACCTGAGCTTTCAAGATTGTTAGGTGTGTGACAGATCAATGCTGGTTATAGGTTAACGTGTGTAATCAACCTCAGTGAAGCAGGTTGAATCCTCTGAATCATAAAAGGAGGAAGGTATTGCAAAGGTGCTGGGCAGGCTAAAATGCCTGCCCCGTGAGCAAGTTCTGCCACCTTCTTTTGTTCTCACCTTCTCCCTCTGAGATCAGTACCAGCCACCGTTCCTAGCCCACCGAAGTTGTGAATTCTCCAGTACGGAGCTCTGTATTGTTATAGAGACCACAAGTCTGGTGATTATAAATGTTGAAGTCTCTGGGAAACTCAAGAGTTACAGTAGTGATTTTGAAAGCATGAGATGTTTTGGAAGGTGGCTAGTCCTGATTTGGACTCTATTGGTGTATACATTCTTACCTGTGCAAAGCAATACAAAGTTATGCTGTCAACCAGTGATGTGAATGGGTTTTTTTCTTTCTCTTAGCAAATCTGATCATTGCTATGTTGCAGCATATCTTGCAACAAACAAAATAATAGATTCATGATGTTCTGTCATGATGAACTGTCATTTCAAATGAGACTGAAACATTATTTCCACTTACCTACTGATATAGTCCAAACAGCAATTATTTTCAGGAATGCCTTAGTTCTGGAATTGAAGCGGCTATGATGGATGGGGTTCTGGATGGCGACGTAGCGGTCCAGCGAGATGGCACAGAGGTGCATGATGGAGGCCGTGGAGAAGAGCACATCCAGGTAAATCCAGATTGCACAGAGCTTGCTGGGCAGAGGCCACTGGTAACCTAGGATGCAGAAGCTTAGTGTCAGTAAGCGGCCTTATGCTGCCTCTGGCATGCGGATTCTCTCCCTCTGCAACAGTCTCCGTCCTGGGGAAAGGCACAAGAGGCAGCAAAGGGCAACATGAGAGATTTTCAGTATTTCAAAAAAGCCTAATAACAACTGTGGTTCACTACAATATGCTCTCTTTAGCATTTCTTTCACTCTGTTCTGCCTAACAAAACATAATTTTGGTTTGTTTTGTTTTTAAATTACTTAAGTCATAAGTTATGACGTATTTTGGGCTCCTGTACGAAGCACCTCACAGTATATTGTCCTTACTTACACATCTTTCACACGTTTTCTGTTTCCTGTGGTTAGGCCCATCCCTTTGTCATTATTATAATTGCTCAGCCTTACCCCGTGATGGCATTTAGTAGTCTCTCCATAACTGTTATTGGCGTGAAGGAATAAATGACTAAAAGTCCAGACTGAGAATATGTCTTCACTTCTAAAAATGAAACATAATTACCTAATATTGCTTTAGGGGTTAAACTCAAATTTGGGGCTTATGGGGGTGAGGACGAAGACAATGGTGAAGGAGATCATGGTTTTCTGTCCTGAGAATTGTTTCAGGGGTGCTGATACTGCCGGTCCAGGGACCCCACTTTGCCATCCAATGGTTAGGGCAGTGGTTCTCATTCCTGGCCATACATTAGAATTATTGGAGAGCTTTAGAGAAGTCCTGATGTCTAGGAGGGTGGGTCCCAAACACTGTTCTAAAGCTCTCCAGATGATTCCACTGGGAGGCCCCCGAAGGAGGTCGCCGGCTGTATTAGAGAAATAGGTAGGATATGCTTATGGACATAAGCAAAGTGTCTTCATTAAAAAAAATGTTTTTGAGGGGGACCTAATGGTTATATAAACCTAATTAATTTTGATAACAGTATAAGCAATGGTGTTAGATCTGTGAGTATGTGAGAAGGAAAATTATGAAATCCACATATAAAGTCCAATATTCCAGACCCACAAAGCTGAACAAACTCTTCAGTTTCAAACATATTTTCTCTACCAAAATGCCACCACAGGTACTCAGAAAAGTAACGTTTGCAGGACACAAGCCTAACTTATTGCCTTTCACACGGATTATTTGCAAAGAGTTTCAACAGAACTAGAGCCTTTTCCTTAGCAGCGCCTGGGGGGAAGGCGTACTCAGCCTGGTCGGAACTGCTGTTGGCTCTTAAAGAAGTTTTCTCTGCTGGGAGGCAGCCACAAGCCCTAGGCCAGGTTTCCGCAGCAGGGATAAGGAGGGGCATTTCCTCCCCCAGCAGAGTTCAAGGGGACAGTGCAGGGAGGAGCTCAACTCCGCTGGGAAATGGCTACACGCAGAACAGCTGCCGCTAGGGGGCGCACTTGCAACCCGGAGCCTGAGATGCCCAGCAGGTTGCAGCTTCCTAAGGTGGCTGGCTGGTGCCTCCTCTCCCCTCATCAGTCTTCACCCCTCCTTGGGGTCATTCCTACTCTGCCGATGCGGCAGTTTTAGTTCCCGGACTGGTCAGCCCTGTGGATAGTCACTGGAGTTTGTCTTTGAGCAGGAGAGGGTTTTAAGAAGTGAGGATCTCTCCAGTGTATCTGAGAAATGATAGGGGAATTTAATGAAATGATCTGGTGGTGACATTCGTGGTCAAGTAGGCTGTTCTGTAATGAGCATTACCCATCATGTGCAAACCAGAGCCTGCTCTCCTTTGCTCACCTCCCTCCTTCCCACTCCTCAGGACTGGACTGATAGATTTTAGCCCTAAGACTTGGCCAGAAAATCCTCTCTTAAAGACAGCACTCAACTTGTTTCTAGCTCTGGATGACTGCTGATGTGCCTGTGTCAGCAGTCTTAATTTTCTTTCTCTCTTTCTTCAAAATCTGGCTGTATTACTTATAATTTGGAAAGAACACCACATTCTACTCCCAGCTAAAGCCACCCCAGTGTTTGCTGCCTTGCTGAGAGGTTTGACTCTTTTTAAGTCAGTTGAGAAGAAAGCAAGATTAACTTCTTTCCATTTGTTTTCACCCTCCTCCACACCAGACTGGAGGAGTTTATGCATATGCATTTTTAAAGGCACCCTTCCAAATTAGCTTCCCTGAGCAGGGAACAATGAAAATCGGAGTAAATATGAGAATACTCCGCATATGGAGACTCTGCATATTCTAACATTAAATCCCACTGCACCACTGCAAATGTTCTCAGGTAATTGGGAAGGTATTACCACTCCATTAGAAGCGCTGAAAACTATGACAAAGAACTGTTCTCTCTTAAAGGCTGGAATATTTGGGAATGTAAAGGAGTGAAAATCAAATGGATTCAGAATGGCAGATAAGTTATTGCTTTATGACTGCATTGGGGCATTTATAATAATTTCTACATAAAATGTATGTGTTTCAAAGCACAAAACTCTTTAAGAATCACAAATAGTAGATTTTTAAAAATAGGAAAACCCCATTTAAGAATAAGTTTAAGTAACTAGTGTAACAGAGGGCCCTGGTTTACTAACAAAGCCTCCTGTTTATTTTGTCCCTTGAGACCCGACTCATCTGCTAATGACATGCACATGCTCTTTATTACTAGTGTGGGTACAAGTGGGAAACCAACACCACTCACCATAGAGGATGGTTAGCATGGACACGGGCATGACAAGGAAACCCAGCAGCATATCAGCGATGGCAAGTGACATCAGGAAGTAGTTGGTGGCATTCTGCAGCTTTTTCTCTAGGGACACTGCCATGATGACGAGTATGTTTCCAGCAATAGTTAGAATAATCACTATAGCTGTCAACAAAGCAGACCAGTTCTTTTCCTGGAGATGAAGTAAAGAGAAGCATGGTGGTGAGAGACAATCCTCACAGGAAAGGTTGGTTCGATTTTTCGAGTCCACTGTCCAATTAAATGCATCTGAAGTGTTAGCTTCTCCAGAGTTAATGTCATTATTGTAGAGCCTTGTGCCTTCATTTCGGTGCATTAAGGAGTTTGTACTTGAGCTCAAAGAAGTGTTTCCTTTACAAAGCATATCCATTTCTAAGCTGGAACTTGCAGTAGATGAAGTGTAGAAATATTAACAAGTTATAGGCTCTGCTCACCATCCATTTTTGTGTCCCCATACTCTGTCACTGAAGCTGGTGTACATGCTGGGCTCCTTGGCTGGCTTTTCCCCTGCCATGATTGCAGTAGTAGTTAAAGAACTGCAGTGGCTCTTTCTTTATATTCCATTCATTCACAATATTAGTAGAGTCCTCTGCTTGGTTTCATTTTTGTTCCTCCAAAGCAAGGTCAAAAAGGCAGAATGAACTTTAAACATAGAGGTTGCAGAGTTTTGAACATTCGGGGAGAAAAAATGTGATCCTGGCCAAAAAAGAAAAGTTTTGTAACTACCAGGAATCTCTCTGATCTCTCTCTCATTCTGTTGGTTATGCTGATCACACTAGGTTAGCCACAGCAGTGTTAAAATAGCATGCAAGCCAAAACAGCAGGTTGCATGCCTTCTACATTCAGAAAACATCCAGTGTTAATCCCATAATAATTTAATGTACTTTGGATTATAGTTTTCAGTCAGTCTTAGGCTGAATTGCCAAAGCTGCTGTCAGAAATTTCAGCGTATATTATGTTGCTTAGTTAATAAAAGAAAAGAAAGTCTTAAGCAAAGATTAACAACTTTCCACATTAGAAATTCTCATTGTAAGATGATTACATTTTAGCTAAGCATAATTTCAAAGCCCAAAAGAAAATTACACAGCAATAACATATAGAATGAGAATATGAGCACTTACATTTGTCTTCAGAGTCCACATATTAGACACACCGCTGTTCTGCATCTCTCATCATCATTCACTGGTAGAGAGTCCCTTGAGCTTCCACCAGTACAATAGGACAGTAATTTGATTTCTGTTTTGCCGATTTAAAAACCTGCATGCAAGGGTCGAGCCAGTTCCAGCACTGCGAGGTCCCTGTTGGCTTCCTCTGTCCTCGCTTGGCAGGGTTACTCTCTCCCCAGGCAGCTTGCCTCAGCGAGGCACACATTTAGAAATCATTCACAAGCCCCTCTCGAAGTCACACAAAAGAAATCACACAGCAAAGTAGGAAGAGCTGCCTGCACTGAGGGACACGTGGTTTCCACGGGAATGGACTGCTAGCTCTCAGGCTGTCTCCTCCATGTCGTCAGAACTCCCTCTGTCTGTGTGTCACAAACTGCAAGGTAGCAGCAGCAGCCAGGAGGGCGGACCAAACAGGCTGTTTTTCCTCCTTTTGCTATATGTTAACATTGGCAAGTTTTCCTTTGTTTTAAAAAGAGAGAAACTGAAGAGATGGCCTTTGTACAGATTGCTAAGGCAGGTAAGCTGCACCGGGATAATTATTAGGGTGTCAGGGTGAGGAGAGAACACAGATAAGACTAGAGAATGGTGTATTCTGGGAAAGTGTTCCCTGTAAGCCAGGCACTTTCATTCAAACCTTCAGTGCCCGTGCCTGACGTGAATTACTCACATTGGTGACTTGAGCTCAGAGTAGTCAAGCAAATCTTGGCAGATAACTCGGAAACGGTTAGTACTATTTTAATTTATTATTAAATACATACACCATTTAACTAGTTTAATTTTTCTCCTTGAAATATACCACCTAGAAATAATTCAAAGCCCAAAAGAGAATAATTTGCTTGTTCAGAAATAATACTAAAGACAGCCCTTTTAATTGTAAGAAAGCCCTTTCTCTGTTTTTTAAAGAATGTATGCATGGATGAGTATTCACACACAGGCACACACACGCACATACACACACAGGAGCATATTGAAAACCGTGAAAAAAATTGTTTGTATTTTTCTGTCTCACTCCCTTGCACAGAACACTCATTGCAGGAAAGTTGTTTGTTTAATGAACATAAAATTTAATTCAATTTAAAAATGGAAAGATTGTAAGTATTTAGTTTGAATTTTGAAAATATACACCTGTAAAACCATTACCCCAATAATTCCCTCATGCCCCCTTTTGACCTTCACTTAAATGGAAACATTTAGTGTAAGCTTCTTTTGTGTCTGGCTACTTTTGTTCAGCAGCATTCATTATGCTGAGATTCATTCTGTCTCTGTGAGTAACTTTTTTTTTTAATGAATTGTAGTCTGAGAAACTATTAAGTGGCCTGGATTTTGGGAAAATCAATCATTTATTTATTTATTTATTTATTTATTTATTATTTATTTTTTAGTGTTAAAAAAAAAAAAGACTGGATCCTTGTTTTGTCTGTCCTTTTTTGGCTTCTTTTTTATTGTTTCAGAGAGGAAGGGAGAGGCATAGAAAGAAACATCAATGATTAGAATCAATGATCAGCTGCCTCCTGCACGCCCCCTACTGGAGATCAAGCCTACAATCCAAGCATGTAATCTGCCTGAACTCAAACTGACCTCCTGGTTTATAGGTTGATGCTCAACCACTGAGCCACATCAGTTGGGCAACTTTTCTTTTCTTTTTTTTTAATTATTAAATTTATCATTAAATTTATTATTAAATTTAATTACTAAATTTATTACCATCATTAATAATTCAGATTTCAGATGTGGATTTCTATGTTACAAGATCTGTGTATTGTACTGTGTGCCCATCACCCAAAGTCAAATCTTAATTTTTTAAGACAGTCCAAACCTTAAAATTCACTTAATTGATTGGGTTTGCTCTGAGTTGGAAGCATTAAATTCTTTTATTTCATATTCTTTCTTAAAAATATATCCCTGGGCTTTCTGCTACTCATATCTTACTGATGGTTTGAGAATGAGAACAGATTTTCACAGAAAATTTTCTGAATGATATGAAATCCATCACTGTTCTTTGGGTGTTCCAATTCTTAGGTCTAGAACAACCTGCTGACCGTGGAAAACAATGTCTTGAATTGTGTCTGTTATGCCATTGACTGTGTCAAAAGAAACAACTAGTTGAAATTAGCTAATGATTCTTATCTGCTTTTTAAATTTTCTCATACTTGTGTTTCATTTAACAACATAAACTGATGAACAAAAACAGAGACAGAGAAGCATTGATCAGACCATCAAACCTCAGAGGGAAGGTAGGGAGGGTGGGGGAAAGGGGAGAGATCAAACAAAGGACTTGTATGAATGTATATAAACCCAATCAATGGACACAGACACTATGGGGTTGAGGGCATTAGTGGGGGGTGGGGATAGTGGAGGTAATGGGGGGAATAAGGACACATATGTAACACCTTAATCAATAAAAAAATTTAAAGATAAGCATTGAATGCTGTATCAAGAACTCTTATTTATTTATTTATTTATTTATTTATTTATTTATTAAAATTTATCTTTATTGAAATTACAACAGATATTCCCCTTTTCCTCTTACCCCTTCTCCTTCTCCCCATTCCCATATCCCCCAGGCTTTCACCGCACTATTGTCTGCGTCCATGGATTATGCATACTAGTATATGGGTATAAATTCTTTAATTAATCTCTTTTAATTGCTAACTATGAAGATAGACAAGATTCCTGCCTTAATTAATTTACTTAAAAATGGTGGTAATAAACATGAGCATTAGGGAAGAGGTATAAGCTTAGTGGTCAGTGGCATGTTAATGGTATGTAGAGACAGAAAAGAGAAGAGTTCTGAGGCATGAGCCCGGGGTTACTCCAATATTTTGAGCTCAGGAAGGTGTAGAGAAATCAGTCACGCAGATTAAGAAGGAGCACCCAGCAGGTACAGAGAGATGCAACAGTGGTATTCCAGAAGTCAGGTGAAGAAAGACTTCAAAGGTGGGGGGGGGTTTGCTCAACTAGGTCAAATGCTCCTAATTGAAGAAAAAGCCCAACTAAGTGAGAACAAACAAGCAAGAAAACAAAAAAAAAAATGGGAAGAGAAAAAGAAGTGATAATGAGTATAGGCAGTATAGACTATTCTGAGGATTTTCTTGGGGAATAACACAGCAGAAAAATGAAGTAGTAATTGAAAGATGATAAGAAGTCAATAGGTGTTTTTTTTTTGTGTGTGTGTGTGTGTTTAAATAAGATAAACTGAAATACGCTTTTGCGTTAAGGAGAATGATCCAGCAGAAAGAGGAAAATTGGCAATATAATAAAAGTAAGAATAAAAATAAGGAAATTGGTTAATAGATATTAAATTGCTCAAATAAGAGGTGGTGAGAGATCAGACAAGGGCTATGATAGTGGAAATGGAGAGAAGTTCAAAGATGTATTTTAGAAATAAAAGTACCAAGACTTGCTGGTTTATTGGGAGTGGGGTAATAGGAGTGGAAAGTTGATTGGCCAGGGAATAAAGAAAGGAATCTAAGATCAAGAATCACTTTTAGGTTTTTGGATTGAACAATTGGGCAAATCATAATGTAATTCATAGAAATGGAGAAAGACTGAACAGTTGGGTTTTAGGGAGCAAAATCAATACTCTGTCATGGATAGTCTAATTTTATTATTTTAGTTAGAATTAAGTTTAGCTGCATGTATCAACAATTCCAGGATAATAGAGTATTAAACAAAAGAGAACATTTTCCTTTCTAAATGAAGTCTGCAGGTCCAGAGCTGACATGAGACTTTCATGATCATCAGGAACAAAGGCTCTTTCTGTTTAGTTACTCTGCTCTCCTTATTGTGAAACTTTGTGGTATTAGATGGATTCTTGACCTCAAGCTATCTTGTTCACATCCCAGCCAGCATGAAGGAGAAAGATGAAGTTCCCCCCAGTTCCCTCCAGTGTCACACATGACAGACAGTTTTGCATATTCATATGCACCAAACTTGGATACATGGTCACTCAAGCTGCAAGGGAAGGGGAAGAAACTTTATTCCAGCTGCCTGTGCGTTCAGCTGTAGACCAAGGATTCTGTTACTAAGTAAGAAAAGGAGAATGGAATTGAGAGGCAATTAGGAGACTCTCACATAGACGTCCAAGAGAAACTGTATAAAGACAGTTGAATCAGAAGCTATAGAATCAGTTATAGCAAAGGGTATACATTTTGGAGTCATCAACCTTCATAGATAGTACTTAAAATTGTGTGCTTTTGAAAAA